CTGTTTTCAAGTGTGGAACTCGTACGGAACCTTCCAACTACCGTCTGATCACCTTCATCCTTGTGTTAGCCAAAGTTATAGAAGAAATAACCGCAGAGGCACTCATGGGATACCTTGAGAGCAACAACATCAAAGTGCCAAGGCGGCATGGATTCCGCCAATTTGTCCTGCACCACATACTTGTTACTCTCCCGGGCAAGATGGAAGAAGTCAGTCGATGCCAGGCAGGGAGTCGACGTCGTATACTTGGACTTCTTCATGGCATTCAATCGCCCGGATCGCGAATTTTTTTCCAAATTTCGAAGCTATGATCCTGTGCTCCGATGGATAAGCATATTCCTCACTCAAGGTTAGTTGAATCTAAGTGTTCGCGGATCCAGTTTCGATCCAATTGAAGTCCAGTGTGGTGTTCCCCAATGATCCGTACTGAGGCCATGTCTGTTCCTAATACTCATCAACGATCTCTCTAGAATTCTGCAGTCAGGTTTATTACTATTTGCAGACAAAGTCATGATATGACATAATATCCATGGAGTGAAGCAGCACGTGGCACTACAAAGGGATTTCAACAAGGCCTATATACGTGGTCATCCAAAAATCAGCTCCAGTGTAACCGAACGAAATGCAAAGTTCTAAACATACGCCATCAGTGTACTCGTGAATATCGACGTGAAGAGCAGAAGCGGCAACATGATACGCAAGAAAGCAATGTCGGGGTAATTGTGCAGGACGATCTTTGCTACTCGAAAAAGACCGAAATAGAATCTAGAAGCGCCACACAGCACCTTAGTCTCCTACGAATGGCGTTCGAGGAATTCACGCCATCAATCTTTCTTTAGATGCTGAGCTCATACGTGAAGCCTTGCGTAGATTACGCGATCCAGTCCTGGGGATCTTGGTGCAAGCACGATGCTGCTACGCACGAAGCTCCACAACGTAGAGCGACGAAAATCGCTAGTGGGCTGTTTCACCTAACCTATCAGTGAAAACTGCAAGCCCCAGACTTGCACAGCGGTGAACTTATTATAGTATACCAAATGCTGACTAACTGTAATCACGCCTGTCGCAATCTGTTGCAGATGAAACAAAATACCAACTTGAGAGGCCACCAGCTCAAACTGACCACACACCACGGTAGACTTGGTTGCCTACAGAACTATTGCTCCCCTCGGGTATTCAGAATGTGCTACGCTCTTCCTCGGTAGGTTGTTTGCTCCACCTGCGTTAACGTTCTTTTAAAACAATCGGACTATACTCTATCCCATTAACACTACGCGGCATCGCCTGTATCCATTGAAAGAGGAATTGACGCAAACTGTGTACCCACCAGCTCTCTCCGTTACGTAGCGATTAGCAGATCAGCATGTGTTCATTAAATAACTGTGAATCACATCAAGTTAAAATTTCCCTTTTCCTCTCGTCTTAAACAATGGTTTTACAGTGCATACTCCGGTCATTCTACCAGACTTGTCAAGCGATGCGCTTTCGCTCGTTCGCTCGTTCATACGATGATGATTTGTCCTGAAATGCTTGGTGATAGCTAAGGTTGCGCTACGTCTCATTCTCTGATCCGCTACGTTATGCTACGTCGTCGCTTAGCCTAACCAATTAAGCAAAAGTTCAGCCACACTATGAGCCAACCGAAGGTAAATCCTGTCAACATAAATCTAACCGCAGCTGCAGCCGAACTGGGAAACAACATGAGTGACCGAGCAGGTCGATGATCAGCTCTAATGGCTACGAACTACGAAACTTTACGCTGTGTGCACAAGGTTGGCCAGCGGTGCAGCTGCGCTCTAGGGTCGGTCTGATTTGGCGTCCGATATCTTTTGCCACATGGTCTCTGTTAAATGTCAAGCAGAAACAAACATTATTTTCTCTACCACTAATACCGATTTGTTCTTTCCGGAGAGCGTGGTGTGGATTTAGATGAGCTTTTTAGTCTACCTATTAAATAGCCATCGCGATGAGACTGGACCTTAACGTGGTACGATGGTTTGTGAGCCTCAGTTATCCATTAAATTATGCTGGGTGGTGCTTTTGTACCTTCAGAGCCACTCATACCAGATTGCTCAATGGTTAGAGGCTAGACAAACTCAGTCTCCTGGCCCTCTAGTATCAGTAATTTAGGTGAGGGTGGCTCCTTACGCCCTAAAACGGTTTCTTTGCAGTCCAGTGCCAAAACCCCGCTGCGTTGCGGTAAGCTTTTTGAACAATAGGCTTTGGTTGAGCGCTCTAAACGTTCTCCTGTCTGGACCTGGGCAAACTGACGGTATACTGCCAACGCAATGTACCATGTTCTTTCCTTCTAATAATCTCTTGTTGCTCTGGCCGTCGCCGAGGATAATAAACGGCTCCCTATCTGCTGCATCTAGCAGGGCGGATAGGGCTTTGGATGCTACTGCTCAGGCCTTCACGCATTCTTATTCCCCCTCTTAGGTTTTTACATCTTTAGCGGTCCGTTCCAACTTCATTTTTGTCCCACACGTTTTATACCCACCAATTCTTTGCCATCCTCCACCTTGCTTCAATAGTACCTTGTCTTCTAGTTTCAGCCCACACACAAACGCAGCGTGCCGCTCCAATGCAGTCGACAACTCCATGTTCAACCAAGCAAACAACGCCAGTTCATCCGTTTCTTTTTTGAGTCCTCAGTCCTCGCTAAGACTAACATGCATCAACGTACACACTTTGCTACAGATGGGTCAGCATGCGGCACTCGCTCGTACGCCTGAGACCAGCGCGATCGATATTTGCTGTTTATTGAAAACCCGCCTGCACTATTCAAGCTCCGTATTTACTCTGCGATCCCCCACATGCGACACTGGCGGCACATTCTCATTGTGTCTGCCTGGCGATGACGCAGCTTCACATGCAGCTCAAGCTGGCGTCGGCATTGTTTTGAGTCCCCGGGCTGGAGCTGACCTGATGGACGGGATCCCTGTCCACAGTTGGATGTGCGTCGTTAGGTTGGCTGGCTCGTTCCAGGCTTCGAAGTCGCACGGGAACACACGGTGTCAGTTTCTCACTGCGGGCTATGCGCCTAAAAACTGCGGCACTGATTCGGTGAAAGATGATTTCTATCACCAACTTAGCGATCTTCTTCGTTACAGAAGAAGCACGGATATTGTGATGCTTGTTGGTGATTTAAACGCGTAAGTCGATAAACTGACCTCTGATAAGCTTCATCTGGGCGGCCAACATGGTGTGGGCTCCCGCAATGATAACGGTGAACTGTTGATCCACTTGCGTGAAGGTTCTCGTCTCTTTCTCGTGAGCACTAACTTTCGACATAACGCCCGCAGACGAGGGAATGGCGCTCACCAGTTTCAGGCCAGGCATGGAGGCAAAACGACCACATCGCGATTAGTTACCGCTGGAGAGGCTGTGTTCAAAACTGTCACTCGGTTGGTAGCACCAACATGGACTCCGATCACACTCTTGTGTGTGCTGATCTGCGGGTGCGCTCCGGCGGACGTCCGCAACCTCGCTCTGCGCGTATTGACACCAATCAGGTGTTCTGAATGCGTACCAAACTACTCTGGCGTCTCGACTGAGTAAGCGTCCACTGGTTACCTTCGAAGATCACTGGTCGCATATTCGTCAAACGTTACTATCATCATGCATGTGTTCATGTGACAAATTAAATTGCCGACCTAGACATTGGGTCTTTACAAATTCTCTGGACTACAGTGCGAATGTAAAAACATACTACATATAATGACAGAACTACAATGCCGTGCAGGCTTCGGCTTGCCAGAGCTGGTAAAAAGTGAAAACTTGTGGCTATAACTATTTGGAACAGCTAAGGAACGTTAATTATTTTGTCTATTTTTTGACAAAGCATGAATAGGTTCGCATTTACACGGTCACTTACAAAACGATCGTCTAGAATAAGCGGTTTAAAGGGCTGGGTGGTTTTAGCAATCACAGCTGTGGTCTAGGAGCACATAGACCGGAGTTGTCAGAAAAGGACTTATGGTTATAACTGAAGCAGTAGCACTATTTACATGTTTTACTGTGGCCTACTGAATGTCATGCTCTGCTCGACTCCCTGGTAAATTGTCGCTCGAAGAGCGGGTTTGTAATATCCTCTGCACTGCGGAAACTTTCAGACCAGGAGGGAGTAAGCAACGCTGTCACTAGCAGTGGCCTAATCATATCAGTAATTGTGTAAGGAGGCGGAAGGCAGTTGTTGCCCAGAGGATAGAGAGACCATTAAAACGGTGATGGGCGGAAAGAGGAACAGGCGCAATGAGGGGGAGCAGAGGGAGCAACATTGGCCTGACGGAATGCGACGAAAACGGAGCACGAGCGGCATCTGGTAGTGAGCCTAATCCAGGCTGAACGGGGAGGGTATTCGTCGAGGATGCAATATATAACACATAACCGCTGTTATTGCAGCCACCTGGACCAGCCCCAAGCAGAGTGATGCATTCACGTTCAAGTAAATCACGAGCTATCGAACGACTCCGAACCGGTTAGAATGGGATGCGTGGAAGTTGAGATACGGGGGTGAAATGGACAGGGAATACTTCATCCCGTATCCGCCAAGATGCATGGACGAGTCGCGAACTGAAGCCAGGAGAGATGGTTCGAGGTGAGAAAGATAAGTGACTCATAAATGTACGTCTGCGTGAGTAGTGACATAGCTGGTGATCGCGCCAATAAAGATGGTGCTTCATTGCCGCGTCGTTCTCGCTACATTTGTGGTCCTGTCGCATTAACAAAGGACTCGTAAGGGCATGGTCATGGTCTCGAGTCTCTCCTGAAACATGCGGAATCTGCTCTTTCCTCGTTCCCGAGAGAATAAAATCGCTATCCGCAGTCATCTTATTAGCATGACTGGTATATAACTGAGCCTAGTTATGTTGAAAGTAGACAACTGTTTCTTTTAGAACATTATCCTAAGAAATTGTAACGAATAACCACGGCGCTGTTTTGATTTTCAGCTGAAGACGAAGGAATACGTTAATAGCAATCGTTAAAAATTTTGTTACCTGTACAACTTCATCCGAGGCCAACGGTCCTGCATTTGTCACTGTCGCGTAGATTACGAAAGGTTGTCCAATTAGAATAGGATTTGCGGGCAAAATTAGTTGAGAGTATACAAATTCACTTGCACCGCACTTGTCCGCGTTATACGTAAGCCCATAGCCAAATGGAAAAAGGATTGGCAATTTGCAGTCATCGGAGGCTCTGGAACATTCATACGGTAAGTACCTATAAGTTTGATTGGTCATTTCGTAATATGTCATGTCCGGCAAGTGACTGATTGACCGATACCACGTGAACGGTAACCGGGCAGCGGGGATCCACCAGAATTTCGCCACTGGGGTAGACAAGCCCCAGCTCCCCAGTTCCTTGTCTTCGTCGGCGTCGGGCATCAAAGGGGCTTGTACTCCATACGGATCACCGGGATTACCCAGCATTATGCGCGCCAAGGCTTCACCGATGTGAGCTCCAGGGAAGCCACACCAAAAGATTGCTACGACCTGTGGGGGTGATATTGGGAATCAGTGAGAAATATTTACATGGAATGCCTTCAGCTAGAAGAGGTAACCTATTCGTAGGTTGTGCCATTTAAATCGTGACTGGTTACAATATCAGCAGGCTAGGCACTAATATAAATGTTACTAATGTACAGACAATAACAATACATAAATGAGAGACTTAACGCGTGTGCTTGAATGATGGCTGGCGTCCAGTTCAGGTTGCATTGCGATTACGGCGATGGCCACGCCGTGGGTTTGAGCCCGTGGACGGAAGCACACACGCTCATTGTCCGGTCGTTCCAGTGATGTTGTGTTGCTGCGCCTCGATGTGACATGTATATCAAGGTGAATAAAAGCTAGGTGCATTGACATTTGTCTAAGTTTGTCACTAATTCAACGCCGGTATGGTAATGCACAGAGGTCAAAATGCTGTTTTGACATGGCGCGTATATCAATGGTGTATATCATGTAGCGTGTGGTTAAGCTTTGCCATGCAGGTTAGGTGAAAAGTGCACTTCCACAAACATGGGCGTTTTGAGAAAGTGGCAAACGGGCCTAACACTGTTCACCACTCTTTCATTTAAGTTATTGAGTGCTGGTGCACAGGAATAAAATTTATAAGAAATAGAATATGAAACTTGAGCAGAAAAGCGGATGTTGCGGATTTTACAGTGAAGAAAACAGACGGACGAGCATGTTTGCAAATATGTGGCTAACAACCTTGCCCCGCCTCCTCCTTCACGGTTCCATCGACTATGTTGGCGTAAGCATACTGCAGGGTGAGAGAACGCAGCCGAAAACTACGTTTAAGCACAAGCTCAAGCGGTGAGA